CTGAACCGTGTCTTTGAGAGCTTCTGGCACCCAGGAGTCCACCAAAGTTTCTTAAGGGTAGCATAATTTCCAATTTGTTTAAAAGTTTTGGTAGTTTGTAATCCTCCTAGCACCTGTAATTAAACAATCAGGGCTGATAGAAACCCTCTTGAATCACCACATACACCCATATGTGCATCAGACTGATATGAAGAGAGCTTTAGACTAGAATCAGACTTCAAGCTCCTCCCCTGTCATTAACATCTGTGTGACCCTAACCAAATCATTTATCTTCATCTGTAGACAGAAAGTAAATATTGATATTTATTATATTATTATTTCTTGTGTTATCTTACATATACTATATATTACATATATTTACATATATGTAGTCACATATATAATTACATATTAATATATTATATAACATTTTATATACTATCTTAAATACTTATAATTACATATCAACATATTATTTAATTATATATATAATATATAATACACAATAATCATATGTAATATTATTATATTTATTATATTTACAATGTTATTATGTCTCATCAGTCTGTTGTGATGAGCAAATGGGATCGTGTTTATGAAGTTGCTTTGTAAGGAGCCAAATATAATCTAAATGAAAGTGGAGTATTTCATCCCTTTCTTCCTCCAATGAACTCTTAGTTTTTCTACATCCATAAAACTGGTGAGATGCATATAGATGCTATTTCCTATAGATTTAGTCTGTCCCAGTCCACTACCACCTGGCCTCTTATTCTGCCATCCCAGGGGGTGACCTGGGACCCATTTCTAGCTCCTGTTTCAGAATGACTGCCTTTGGAGAATGGGGTTTCTCAGGAAGGACATTGCACAATCAGAAAGCGCTGATCTGCCAAGTCTGTAACGTTTTTTTCCTGGAGCACTTTCAGGAATGTGTCACAGGAGGTGGGGGAGATGGGCAATGGAACAGAGAGTACTAGGCACCCGCAACCAGGTAATAAAATGTTCAAGCATTCCTTTTCCAAATCTAATGAAGACATCAATCTTCATTAAGTCAAAGGGTCTGGGGTCTGCAGTGGTGAGATTTACTGAGCCGCTTCAAAAAGCTGGAGAAACAATGACCAAAATGCAGGCCATAGAGCGACAGGCAGTGGATTCTAGAACTTGATGATGTCTATTTTCAACAAGTGTTGAATTTGCCAATAGCTATTAGCCCTAAACACAATCCTGAAGCTCAGTGTGTGATGGAGCCAGCTTACACTGGCTCAACAGAGCTGACTCTTCATGGCTCTTTCCAGCCATGCTCAGGAATGTCATGGTGGAGCTTGTAATTGGCAAGAGTGGCACTATTTACATCATGAAAGTCAGCAGGTGCCACAGATTTTTCCCCCAAAGGACCCTCTTGCCAGCACAATATTGCTTACTTTGTATTCAAATGCCAATAAGATGCATGGAATCCTGAAAGCACTTTCAGAAGAACAATATTGTTCTTAAATTTTCATGTGAACCACTAGGAAAAAAAAAGTCTTATGTCTACATAACTTTGCTTTTATACTCCAAACTCACCGTCCCCATACAGCCTCTCTTTCAGGCTGAATGTGGAAAGTGGCTGCTACTGACCTGAAAAATGTCTGAGGCACTGTTATGCCCTTGACGTTGTCAACTTCTTTGCTTTTTCCATGTTTCTCAGGCTGTACCCTCCACCCGTCCAGAGGACACCTCCAAAAGCATTTTTTTTCACAAGGAATATACCTCGAGAGCTTGAGGCGTCCGATAGATACGTGGGGCAAGATGCTGTTCTTGCCTGGAGGAATTTTGCAAAGCAGATTGGATCCAGCTGAAAGAAACTAACCTTACTACAATATAGTTTTCTTCTTTCTTTTAATATCAAGTTTGTAACATACATGTAATTACAGTCCTAAATGAGAAGGAGAGAGAGAGAATCAGGCAAAAAAAATGCTTGAAGAAATAACTGGAACTTTACAAATTGGATGAAAACATGAACACACAGATCTAAGAAGTTCAACAAGTCTCATGCAAGATAAATACAGAGAGAGCCACTCCTAGACAAATGACAGTCAAACTGATTAAACATAAACAGAAAGAGAGCATCTTAAAAGCAGCCAATGGGCCAGGAGTGGTGGCTCACGCCTGTAATCCCAGCACTTTGGGAGGCCGAGGTGGGTGGATCATGAGGTCAGAGATCGAGACCATCCTGGTCAACACGGTGAAACCCCGTCTCTACTAAAAAATACAAAAATTAGCTGGGCGTGGTGGTGCGTGCCTGTAGTCCCAGCTACTTGGGAGGCTGAGGAAGGAGAATTGCTTGAACCTGGGAGGCGGAGGTTGCAGATTGTGCCACTGCCCTCCAGCCTGGCTCCTCGCAACAGAGCAAGACTCTGTCTAAAAAAAAAAAAAGCAGCCAATTTGAGCCGAGATCACGCTGCTGCACTCCAGACTGGTGACAAAGCGATACTCTGTCTCAAAAAAAAAAGAAAAAAAAAAAGCAGCCAAAAAATAAAAACATATATACCAGGAACAATGATATAAATGATGGCTAATTTCTTTCTCTTTTTTTTTCCTGAGCTGGAGTCCCACTCTGTCACCCAGGCTGGAGTGCAGTGGCACAATCTCTGCTCACTGCAACCTCTGCCTCCCAGATTTAAGTGATTCTCCTGCCTCAGCCTCCTGAGTAGCTGAGATTACACTCCTGTACCACCACACCCCACTAAATTTTTGTATTTTTAATAGAGACGGGATTTCACCATGTTAGTCAGGCTGGTCTCAAACTCCTGACTTCATCTGATCTGTCCACCTCGGCCTCCCAAAGTGCTGAGATCACAGGCGTGAGCTACCACGCCTGGCTGAATCATGGTTAATTTCTTATTGGAACCTATGCGAGACAGAAAACGTATCAGAAGACAATGGAATAGTATCTTTAAAGGAAATAAAACTGTTTCCATAATATTCTGTACCCACCTAAGTAAAATTCTCCAAAGAAAAGTAAAATAAAAACATTTTCAAATGAAAGGCTGAGATAATTTACTACCAACAGACCTATGCTGTGACAAATGTTAAAGAAAAATGTTTGAATTAAAGCTAAAAAATACCAGATAAAAACTTGGGTATGCAGAAAGAAAGAAAAAGAGGAAAATGATTAATGAACTTCCAGTTTCCTGTCAATTATGAGAGGAACTTAGAAGTCATCATTCTGTCCTAACAGGTTAAAAAGTTGGACAAACTGTTAATTAAACAACCTTTCTTAGATACATCAGAGAAATGAAGTCACAAGGAAAACCAGTGCCCTCAAAATTGAAGAGACAGGTGAATACAGAGAACCACAGCTTACTAAAGCAGAAACTCATGAGCAGAAACCCCCTTGGGAACAAGTACTGTAGTAGAAAAACCTAAACTATAATTGATAAATTGCTGGAAACTCAGTGCAAATAAACTCTGAGAGTTAAAAATTCTCAGGGAACCCTGTTACAGGAAGGCTCCCAAACTTTTATGAGTTTGACCTCCAGGAGATCTACCTGAGTAGGGTGAAGATCTGTTCCTCCTGAGTAGATCTCCTGAGGTCAAACTCATAAAAGTGAATATTGAACATTGGGGAAGAGGAAAAAAATCCCCTGTGCTCTGGCAGCAGGGAGGGGAAAAGGAATTATTTTGTAATATATCAGAACATTCTGTTCTTCATAATAAGGCTTGCCCTCAGGAGAAATTATATTAGCAGAGACTGACCTCCCTGGGTTTTATCATTACTGTAATACCAAAACCAGACAAAGACATTATAAGAAAAAAACCCTGCAGACAAATTTCGCGCATGAACATAAATGTAAAAATTCTCAACAAAATATTAGCAAGTCAAATCCAATCATGTATAAAAATATGTATACACCATGATCAAGTGGCATTTGTCCCAGGAATGTAAGACTGGCTCAACATTTGAAAATTAATTAATATAATCCATCACATCAACCAGTCAAAGAAGAAAAGTCACATGATCACATAAATAGATGCAGAAAAAAAGCATGTGAAAAATCCAATGCCCATTCATCATAAAAAAAATTCCTCAGCAAACCAATAATGTGGGAAAATTTTCTAAACTTGATACAGAACATCTAAAAAATTCTGCAGCTGACTTTTTACTTAATGGCAAGAAACTTGTAGCTTTCCTGCTAAGATCAGGAACAAGACAAGAATGTCCTCTCCTCTCATCACTGCTTTTCAGCATTGTACTGGAAGTCCTAGCTAATGCAATAAAACAAGAAATGATAATAAAAGATATATCAATTGGGAAGGAAGAAATAAAATTGTCTTTATTCACAAATGACATGATTGTGTATATAAAAAATCCAGAAGGAACAGCAAATTCTTAGGATTAGTAGGCAATTAGAGGAAGGTTGTAGGATACAAAGTTAATATACAAACATTTCTCATATATCAGCAATAAATGTGGAATTAGAAATTAAGAACACATCACCATTTATATTATCATTAAAAAATAATGTATTTATATATGAACATTATAAAATGTGTTCAACATTTATATGAAGAAAACTCTGATGAAAGATATCAAAAAACTAAATAAACAGAGAGATATTCCATGTTCATGAATAGGAATACTCAATATTACCAAGATATCAGTTCTTTCCAACTTGATCTGTAGACTGAACACAGTTCCAATCAAAATCCCAGCAAGTTATTTTGTGGATATTGACAAACTGATTCTAATGTGTATATGAAGGGGCAAAAGAGCCAGAACAATCAACTCAATACTGAAGAAGAAAACAATGTTGGAGGACTGATACTACCTGCATCAAGATTTACTATAAAGCTACAATACTTCAGGAAATGTGGTATCAGTTAAAGAACAGACAAGTAGATCAATGAAACAGAATAGAAAGCCCATAAATAGACCAACATAGGCGCAGAGGTTCCTGGGAGCCTAGCGTAGCAATGGCGTCTGTATGATCTTTGGAGCCTGCTGCCTGGGACCTCAGCCAATGTGAGCGGCAGGAGGATAACAGACTATCTTCTTTATCCCGCATAAAAGATGACAACTGCAGCCAGGCCAACCTTTGAACCTGCAAGGGGTGGAAGAGGGAAAGGAGAAGGTGATTTGAGCCAGCTTTCAAAGCAGTATTCAAGCAGAGACCTACCTTCTCATACAAAGATAAAATACAGAAAAACTACTCAGGATGCCCCTGAAGACGTTCGTAACCGTGACTTCAGGAGAGAGTTGGAAGAGGGAGAGCGGCTGCAAGAGAGAAAAATAGAGATCGTCCAACCCGAGAACATACAACCTCCTCTTCGGTGTCAAAAAAGACACAGTTAGACCAGATTCCTGCTGCCAACCTTGATGCAGATGACCCTCTAACAGATGAGGAAGATGAAGATTTTGAAGAGGAAAGTGATGATGATGATACTGCAGCTCTTCTTGCAGAACTGGAAAAAATTAAAAAAGAAAGAGCTGAAGAGCAGGCCAGGAAGGAACAAGAACAAAAAGCTGAAGAAGAGAGGATTCTTGTGGAAAACATTCTGAGCGGAGACCCTCTCCTTTATCTCACTGGCCCATCCCAGCCTCAGGCCAACTTCAAAGTTAAAAGAAGGTGGGATGATGATGTTGTCTTCAAGAACTGTGCAAAAGGTGTAGATGACCAGAAGAAAGACAAAAGATTTGTAAATGACACACTGCGATCTGAATTTCACAAAAAGTTTATGGAGAAATATATTAAGTAGTACAGTTTTGTGTGCTTAATTAAAGACTGTAAAACGCAAAGGATCATTCTGACATTTTTGGATGCATTTTTTTCTTTTCCCCTGTCTAAATTGTGTGTAGGCTTTCCTAATTTTAAACTCTTATGTTTTTCTTTAGTGATACCTTACTTGAGAATAGACTTGGGAATAGGTTTAACCCAGTTTGCATTTTCTCAATGTTTCCAGTACTACTTTTCCTTGGGAAAAGCAAATCTGCCTGTAATAAATATTTTTAATCTAAATTTTAAATAAATAAATAAATAAATAGACCGACATAAATATAGTCAGCTGATCTTTGACAAGGGAGCAAAGACAAATGGAGCAAAGATGATCTTTTTCATAAAAAAATTCAAAATGGATCATATACTTAAATATAAAATATAAAACTCCTAGAAGATAACACAAGTAAAAATCTATATGACCTTGGATACAGTGATGACTTTTTAAATTCAACATCAAAGACATCATCTATGAAACAAAGAATTGATAAGTTGGACTTCAGAAAATTTAAAGCTTTTGTTCTACAGAAGATACGGTTAAGAAAATGAACAGACAAGCCATAAAATGGAAGAAAATCTTTGCAAAAGACATACTGATAAAGTGCTGTTATCCAGAATACACAAAGAACTCTTAAAATTCAACAAAAATAAAATAATCCTATTTTAAAATGGGCAAAAGGCCAGAAGAGACACCTCACCAAAGAAGATATACAGATGGTAAGAAAGCAAATAAAAAGATGTTCAACATCGTATATCACTAGGGAATAGCAAATTAAAACATCAATGAGGTACCATTACATACCTATTAGAATGGCCAAAATCCACTAACAACCACACATGCTAGTGAGAATGTGGAGCAGCAGGAACTCTCATTTATTGCTGGTGGGAATGTAAAATGGTACAGCCATTTTGGAAGACAGTTTGGCACTTTCTTACAAAGCTAAACATACCCTAACCATGTGATCCAGCAATTGCATTTCTTTGTGTTTACCCAAATGTACTGAAATTTTATATCCACACAAAAGTCTGCACACAGCTATTAATAGAATTTTTTTTATAGTGCCAAAACTTGGAAGCAACCAAGGAGCAGAGAGCAGCCGTTGCTGCTGTGCCCTTTCTGAATTCCTGATCCATTCCTGATACATCATTAACCTTTGGAATAATTTTTTATGAAGAAATATATAACCAGAACACTAACCGTATCAATAATCAGTTGTCAAAATCAGCAAATCTACACTTACTTAAGATTTATGCATATTCTTGTTACTTAATTTTACATTAAAAGAAAAAACTACAATAAATACAAAACTCTACTTAATGTTATGCATGCTGAAATATTTAAAGGAAAACATACTGCTGTCTGCAATTTACTTTGAGATACAATAAAGAAAAGATGAATTAATAGAGGGATAAATAGATGAATAGATTAATGATAGAGCAATTATAGCTAAATGTTAGTAGACTCGGTGTGGGGGTGGTATACAGGTGTTTACAATTCTTTCATCTATTCTGTAGTTTTGACTTTTTCATAGTAAAATGCTAAAAATTAAAAACATAAAGAAGCCAAAAAATTATTTAGGAAAGGAGCAGAGGACAGACAGAAGGTAAGTTACTAGAGAGTTGCTCCTTTTTCTTTGCTGTGACCCGTGCTTTATAGTTAGAAGAAAATGCTTCTATAAAAACTGAGTAAACAAAGAAAGCAGTAGAGTGGGATTTTGCAGGATATCTATATTAAGTGGTTTTCAAATCCTTCCAGAAGATGTCGGAAATGCCCAGGTTCCTGAAGTTGTAGGAGATTTCCTTGTCTGAATTTGCCATGGTATGTTCATGGCTTGTGGCCTGTTCGGGATTTACTAGAATTTCCAAATGCAGCAAGCATTTGCTTCCAAAATCACTCAGATCAAGAGATCTATTGAGAGGACAAGGTCTATAAATGGACATTGCAAAGGATCTTGTTATTCTAATATAATCCAAAGAATGTTTCCCATATAGCCCTAAAATGGATACAAGGTTGTAGCGGGGAGAAGTCTCCTGTAACATAAACTCCGTGAAGGCAGAAACATATCTATCATGCTCACCATTTTATCCTCATACTTAGTACAGCGTCTAGCACAAAGCAAAGTCTTGTTAAATATTTGTGGAAAAAAAAATAAAGGAATGATGACCTCTTATATTGAAAATTGTGGAAAACTTTTAAAATAAATGATCACATTTCAACTGTCCTCTCTACTCTGAACCAGTGGAAACAACTTCCCAGCCAACAAGGTCTTGATCAAATATAGAATTTTATATCTTTGTCTAAATGGTTAGTATGTCTTCCCAATGAGAGAACAACTGAAACAATAATTCTTACTGGTATTACCATGTATTGAGCAAGTACTCTAAAGCTAGTAACTGTGTTAAGCAGCTTACCTCGTTGCCAGTTCTTACAATAAGCCTGAAAGTTACGAATGAGATGAGAAAAGCAGTGCTTAGCCAAGATATTAATTCACTGAAGGATACGCTGCTGTAAGACTCAAAGCATTCAAATATAAGCTGCCTGACTCCAAATCTTATTTGCTACAAACATCTAGCACAGCGTATAGTATGCATGTCTGTGCAATGTAATAAATAAATAAATGTAGAAAGGTCATTGTATCTAGATTGCTTTTCCCCATGTGCATATGTGGACAGTTTACTCTTGGCAAACACCTACTGTAGACCGTGGTGCGTGTGTGTGTAGTAACTGCCTAAACAAATAGAAGGAGGAAGGAAGCACATCCTCCCTGGCCTTTAGCCTCTCTCTTCCTCATCCCTGGTCAACAGAAGCCCATCTAAACCAGAAAGCTCTTTCTGCCTCTGGTAGAAATAGTGGCTCCAGAGTTATTATTCTTCACTCAGCATAGTAGTGTATTTTTTGGATACTTGTTCTCAGGAGAGAACTCCTCCTGGGGTTTGTTGTTCCTCCCTGCCCTTGATAGACACCACAGAACACAGCTCCCCCTTCTCACAGATGCTCTGTCTAAGCACTGAATGTGTACAAATGTTCCTACTCTGATCATGGCCACCCCTAAAAAAGAGTGCAAGAATAGCACCCATGGGGGGACAAAAGACCACAGACCTGTGGAAGCAGCTCATTCTGCGTACAATCAAGTACTTAAAATGTCTTCAGTGCAATCTGCCACTCTCTCATTAGTGTTCCCCTTCTCCATGTTGACAACCTTCCTACACGGGCCTACATGAATACATGAATACATTTAAGATGCCTTTTCCAGAAAAGTGTTTGATCTTCATGTTGAAAACCTTCCCACACACACCTGAATTAGGACAAGCATTAAGAGGTCACTGTCAAAATGCCAAGCTATTAGAACTCTTGTTTCCCTTTCCTTTTCTTTCTTTCTTTCTTTACTTTTTTGAGGTAGCATCTCAGTCTATCACCCAGACTGGAATGTAGTGGTGCGATCATGGTTCATTGCAGCCTTGACCTCTTAGGCTCAAACGACCTCTCAGGCTCCCACTTCAGCCTCTTGTGTAGCTGGGACCACAAGCATGCACCATCAAGTCTGGCTTTTTTTGTTTTTCTTTTCTGTAGCAACAAGTCTTGCTATGTTGCCAGGGCTGATCTGAAACTCTTGGGTTCAAGTGATTCTCCAGCCTCAGCCTCCCAAAGTGCTGGTATAACAAACTTGAGCCACTACACCCAGTCTACAAGTAGACTATCATGTGGTACAGGTTCAGTATCATCAACAGGATTCCATTGCTGAAAACACACTTCATTTCATTGGATGTGAACATCGACCAAAATAGAAAAATAAAATTTCTCTCTGTATATTTTCTTTTTAGTATGAGATATATCATAATCTAGAATGGCATATATTTACAGCTAAAATGATAATAACAATGTTAATACCTATATTAATAACCAAATCCCAAAATTGTCTTGAGGATAATTACTGTATTAGTCGACTCTCACATTGCTATAAAGAATTACCTGAGACTGGGTAATTTATGAAGAAAAGAGATTTAATTGTCTCAAAGTTCCACAGGCTACACAGGAAGCATGGCTGGGAGGCCTCAGGAAACTTATACTCATGGTGAAGGCAAGGGGGAAGCAAGCACCTTCTTCACATGGCAGCAGGAGAGAGAGAGTGCGGATGGGGAAGTGCCACATACTTTTAAACCATCTGATCTGCTGAGAACCCACTCACTATCACAAGAACAGCGTGGGGGACATCCATCCCCAAAGTTCAATAACCTCCTTCCAGGTCCCTCCCCCAGCACTGGGAATTATAATTCAGCATGAGATTTGGGTGGGACGCCAAGCCAAGCCATATCCATTACCTAATTTAAGAAACAGATCATAAGCAGTGTCCCAGAAGCCTCTTCACATGACCTACCCAACTACATCCGCCTACTTCCTCGTCAGAGATAAGCACCATCCAATCTCTAGCGATTAAAAAATAATCCAAGTCATTCTTTACAGTTTTAATATGTTGGTATGTGTCCTAAAACAATATAACTTAGGTTTGTCTGGTTTTGAACTTGATATAAATAGACTTTGACTACACAAATTCTAGCCATAGGTAATCTTTTGTCACTTACATCTATCTCTCAACATTGTATCTGTAGAATGCATCTCTGTTGTTGCTCGTCATACTTTACATTAATTTTGAAATATTTCATAACCGCTCACCAGGTGAACTTTCCTTCATAAGGGATAATAAATGGACTGAAGACCTCTTCTTCCTTCTAGGTAAATATTCAAAGGGTAAGCATGGGTATTCTTCATTGCAACAGGTTATCTTGACAGTTTTTGTTGTATGTATGACTTGTAGGAATGTCTTTAGAAAGAAAATGTCAGAAATAGTAATTCCATTCTCTCCTTCTCCTTTTCCTTCTCCTTCTTCTTCGTCACCTTCTCTTTCTTTTTCTTTTTAAAGATCCCTTGAAAACAGTAGCCTTCATCTTTATTTTTTAGAGACACAAAAATTGTTGAATGCATGAGTACATGAATAAATTTAAGATGTCTTTTCCAGAAAAATGTTTGACATTCTTCTTTTGTTACATGCAGCTTTCCTGTAACTTCTGATACGATGCCTGTTAGAGACTGAATATTTGTGTCCCTTCAAATGTATATATTAAAAGACCAGCCATGGTGGCTTATGCCTGTAATCTCAGCTCTTTGGGAGGCCAAGGAGGGTACATCACTTGAGGTCAGGAGTTTGAGACCAGCCTGGTCGATATGGTAAAAACCCATCTCTACTA